TTACTACTGCCCAAGTGCAGCACCCTGCACTTGTCAGTATTGAAATGCATCCTGTTTTTGTTAGCCCACCCCCGCAACCTATCCAGGTCTTGCTGCAGTCTTTCCCTCCCTGCTAACGTGCCCACCTCACCCCAAATTTTGGTATCATCAGCAAATTTGAACAGGTTGCTTTTCACCCCGTCATCCAAATCGCTAATAAAGAAATGGAACAGTGCGGGCCCAAGGACCGAGCCCTGGGGGACTCCACTGCCCACTTCCCCCCAGGTCGAATATGACCTGTCCACCATCACCTTCTGAGTACGACCCTTCAGCCAATTTGCAATCCATCTGAGTGTGTAGGCATCAATGCCACAGTCACCTAGTTTTTTAATGAGGATGGGGTGGGGGACAGTGTCAAAGGCCTTGCTGAAGTACAGAAAGATTACATCCACGGCAACACCTGCATCCAATGCTTTTGTGACCTGATCATAAAAGGCAATCAGGTTGGTCTGACATGACCTACCCCTAATGAAACCGTGCTGGTTGCCCTTGAGCATCATCCCCGATGCCGGCCCATCACAGATGTGCTCCTTGATGATCTTCTCAAAGAGTTTCCCCAGGATTGAGGTAAGACTGACAGGCCTATAGTTGCCCAGGACCTCCCTCCTCCCTTTCTTAAAGATGGGGACCACATTAGCTATCCTCCAATCATCTGGCACCTGGCCTGAGCACCACAAGCACTCGTAAAGCCATGCCAAGGGCCCTGCAATAACCCCTTCTAGCTCCCTCAACTCCCTGGGGTGGAGAGCATCTGGACCTGCTGATTTGAACACGTCCAGCCCCTCCAGAAGCACTCTAACCTGGTCCTCCTCAACCTTAGGTCTTGAGGCGTTCCCCTCGAGTCCGTCTTGAATCATGGTGGGGGAGTCCCGGTCCCTGCACAAGAAAACAGAGGTGAAGAATGTGTTAAAGAGGTCTGTCTTCTCCCCTGGCGCAACCACCAGATTTCCCAGCGTATCTTGCAGGGGCCCCACATTTCCCAGTGCCTTCTTCATCCTCCCTATATATTTGAAAAAGGACTTTTTATTATCTTTGATCTTGGATGCTAACCCTAGCTCTATGTCTGCCTTAGCTTTCCTAACAGCCCCCCTACAGGCCCGAGCAGTGGAGGTATACTCTTCTTTGGAGATAGCCACCCCTTCCACCGGGTGTACACCGCCCTTTTGGCAACCAGGCACTCCCGGATGTCTTTGGTGAGCCAGGGAGGCTTTTGGGCACTCTTGCCCCCCTTGGGAGCCCACCCCTGCCCCAGCCCTGGAACAAACTGTAGGCAAGGCTAGGGCCCCCAAGGGGACACTTGCTTGCCTATACACAAATGCCAGGAGCTTGGGGAATAAACAGGAGGAACTTGTCCTCCTGCTTAACACAAATAACTATGATGTCATAGGGATAATGGAGACCTGGTGGGACTCCACCCATTACTGGACCACAGGTATAGATGGCTATACCCTGTACAGGAGGGATCAAGGGGAAAAAAGGGGCGGGGGTGTAGCTCTCTCTGTCAAGGAAAGCTACGCATCCATGCAAGCCAACATTGGCACCCATGGTGGATGACTTGAGACCCTCTGGGTTAAAATCTGTGGGGAACAAGGCACAGGGGATACTATGGCGTGAGTCTACTATAGACCCCCTACCCAGGGGTCAAGACCTTGACCAGGAGTTTGCCAGGGAATTGGCTGAGGCCATGTGCTCCCAGTGTATGGTTGTCATGGGAGACTAACTACCAAGATATCTCATGGGAGGAGCGCTCAGCCAAATCCGAGCAGTCGCAAAGCTTCCTCTCGTGCATGGATGACCTCTATCTGACAAAGGAAGTCTACGGGCCAACGAGAGGTAAAGTGCTGCTCGACCTGGCTCTGGCAACCAGGGGTGACCTAATCAGTGACCTAATGATCGAAGGGAAGCTAGGTGACAGTGACCACGAGCTGATCACCTTCACCATCCGACATAAAACTGGCAAGTCAGTCAGTAATACTGACTTGACTTCAGGAAAGCTGATTTTGACAAGTTCAGGAGATTTATCAGTGAGGCCCTAAAGGGCCACAACCCAAAGGGGAGGGGAGTTCAGGACAAGTGGTTGCTCCTCAAGGGAGCAATCCTGGATGCGCAAGCAAAGTCTATCTTGTCTCAGAGGAAAGGCAGCAAAAGGGCACAGCAGCCCCCTTAGCTCTCCAGGGAACTAGCAGACTTCCTGCATTTTAAAAGGAAGACCTACAAAGGATGGAGGACTGGAACCACCACCAAGGAGAAATACTCTGCTCTGGTCCGAACCTGCACTGAGCAAAGCAGGAAAGCCAAGGCTGCGATGGAACTCCAACTAGCTACAAATATCAAGGTCAACAAAAAGTCCTTTTTTAGATATGTGGGGAGCCAGAGAAAAATCAAGGGCAACATTGAACCCCTGCTAAACCAGATGGGACAACTGACAACCGACGCCCAGGAAAAAGCAAACTTGCTAAATGGGTACTTTGCGTCAGTTTTTCACCAGTCCCATGGGACGCCCCTGCCCGCTGTGGGTCAGGGAGGCCCAGGTCAGGGAGATTCCTTACCTTCCATCGAAGCTGACCTCATGAAGGAACACCTTGACAGGCTGGATAACTTCAAGTCAGCCAGCCCTGACGGTTTACACCCGAGGGTACTCAAGGAGCTGGCAAGCATCATAGCTCAGCCCCTGGCACGGATCTTCAAGAATTCCTGGTGCTCTGGTGAAGTGCTCGAAGATTGGAAGAAGGCCAATGTTATGCCTATCTTCAAGAAAGGGAGGAAAGTAGATCCAGCAAACTACAGGCCCATCTGCCTCACCTTTATCCTGGGGAAGGTCTTTGAAAAGATTATCAAAGAGGCCATCCTTATCAGATGGCATGATCCTGAGGGATAGCCAGCATGGGTTTGTTGTGGGTAGGCTTGCTTGACCAATCTCATTTCCTTTTATGACCAGGTGACCTATCACCAAATCCAAAGTGAATACTAGCTGCTTCACATGGGCCTTGTAGCTAACCAAAAGCAACAGTATCTGTTTGTGAAGAGTAGGAATGTTGCATGAGTTGCCTGGTCTTTCACAGAGTGCTAGGAAATCACTCCAAAAATGTAGTAATGCTACTAACAGATTTGAAAAAAAAAAGAGTTCTCCTACTAAATCTGCCCTTTTATGTAGTCCAGTACATGCCTAAATTTTAAAAGTGGCTGTAAGCAACTTTAGCTGAAAAGTCCTAGCATGGTCTGGTTCCCTGAGGGCTTCAGATAAATGAGCTATCAAAATCTGATGGCACCCACTGTTTCTCAGAGGCTCCCCAGTCAGCTGTTTCTCACAGAAGTTTCTTCTTTCCATAAGTGTTCCCTTCATTACAGACAACTGGCTAGCTTTCCAAAGGCTGAGTTCTTCAGGATCATGTTGGCCCCTGTGCACTGGAGTCACCCTATAAAGTAAAGTACTGTTGTGCAGGGCAGTCTTGGAGGGTGGCGGGGGGGAGTTGTTTGGCTCCTCGCAGCTGAAGGGACTTGAAAAGTAGACTCTGCTACTGGTGATTGGATTTGAAAGAATGAGATGTGCTTGGGATATCTCATCAGACACTAGGATAATTGATGACTTGCATTTATGTCCTGTGTCCAAGATATACATAATTGCAATCATTCTGAGAAAAACTAGGGCTGGCTGTACGCCAGCCTGGTTAAGTGTGTAGTGCCTTTTGTTTTCTTCTCTGCTCAGAAATTACCACTGCTCTGTTAAGGAAGGTTATCATGTGCCTTGGTGAGGATCGGAACACTGATTCTAAAGTCCAGTCCTCCAAAACAGTTCCCTAATGTCCAATGGTATCAAGAGATGCCACGGTGCAAGGTGTGCTGCTGACCAAAGTGACTGGTTCTTTGCTCAGCCTGTGTAGTCTAAGGAAGGAATCCAATCAGAGTAGGGCTCCCTGTTCTGCTACAATGAACAAATAGAGCAATGTAGGTGTCCTTTGTTCCAGGAGCCCACTAAGGATTTATTTCCACCAGAAATAAGGCTTGGTATGAGCTTGGCTAGAGGGAACGTAGCTCAGATTTTCCTACTTGAGAATTGGCAGTAGCTCTCAAAATGCTGGTAGAATGACTCAGCGGAAAGCAAACAAATTCATCCAACAGAACAATGACTCAATTTACAGATCAGTTTAGTTCCTCGACACCGTCCCCCCGCGCCCTTGGTAAATTAGTTTTGTAGCGCTTCAACTAATGCACAGAAATCAGAGAATACTCTGATCAAATGTCCCATATCCTGTGTCCCTTACTCTTCTATTAGGACATTTTGGAAGTGGAAAGAAATGTGATGTTCCTATAACTACTAGTGACCTTGAGCAGAAAGAGCCCTTTTTTCAGTGACCCATGACAGGCAAAAGGGCACAGGGAGGTAAATGTGTTTAGAATGGAGTCATCTGTGTTTTCCTTCGCAATCTGATTGGGATAGGGGGGTTGTAGTGTTATCCCTCAACCCATTTCAACTGCAAAACAATCATTTAGTCACCACCCAGGCATCTGCAGCTGGTTTTATCAGAGACGTAGATGCAGCTGAATGCTTTGGTGATACGAGAAAATGATTTCTGACAGAAACTGACACTGCCATGGAGCCTGGGGAAAAGGCAGTATTACCACAATGTAAGCAGCCAGTATAAAAAGAACTTTTCCTTTCCCTCCGTCGCTCACCCATCCACCCACCTACCCTTTTTTGTATCCGAAAAATTTAAACTACAATTAAAAAGGCATTATTAGTATTTAATTAGATTGGAGTCCTCTCTGCGATGTTGGATCCTCTTGCTGATGTCATCGTGGTTGTCATGGTTACAGGCGAACAAGCTGTTCAGTATGGAGCATCAGCTGGGCGGGGTGGACTCTATGGAGAAATCTGATACAGAAAAAGAGAAGCAGCTGCCATCACCAGGTGAGCGGGAGAGAGAGTGAGAGCGCAAAATACTTAGCAAACAAAAGCAATAAGGGGTTGTGTTATTGCATTCACACTCCTCAGTACAAGTTATGAAAGGAAATTACCCGTTGACATTACAGGGGGGAAAACCTAGACAATTAACAATTAAGAAAAGAGCCTATGCTGACACATGCAAAAAGCTATTGAAACATAAAGTCTCCTCCCAGTTAGATAGTCCATCTAACGGGCAAAAATAAGGGGGGAGCAGGAGGGATGCTGATGAGAATTCAGCAATGTTCACATGTTCAATATTCAAGTATACACATGTGTATGTGTGTGAGATTATATAAGATACATAAATATGTGTAAGACCCCCATGTAGAACACTTTGAATAATAAGACAAATCCCACCCAAACAAGCTATGAAAGAAGCCTCCCCAAAATTAGCATTTTATTTCTCTAAGTGTTTTCCTCTTAAGGGGAATGAAATTAAAATGCATCTTTTCATACAATGTCTAGCATTGCTTCTTATGTAATAATCCTCTTTCTCTAAAAGAGACAGGTCAGCAATTGCTGCAGGCTCCTGCACAATCAGTGCTCATCTCAGAAAAATCTCCAGCTTTCTCTGGGATTTTCCAGTCACAACTTATTAAGCATTTGTCTGTAAAGAAGAGCTGGGCTAGGGGAAGTGGCTTTTCCAGAAAGTGCTTACGCAGATTTGTGATTATTAACAGAGTGGTCCCATGGATTTGCCAGGATAACAATGACACTTTATTTGTATTTGGAAATGTAACCTTAGTGGACAGTTGAATGTTAATGTATGTATTGGCTGTCAGTCTAAAGAGCCACTTTTTAAATCAACTTTACTTTCCAGTGGGAAGGGGGGGCAGGCACTGAGTTTGTTCTGCCCACTACATTTCCTTCTCTTGATACCTGATTAATGTTGTCATTTTCCTGGATTTAAATTTGGAGAGCCAGATTTTTATATCACAGTCTAGTCCCTAATGGCTGGGTGTTACCAGTGAAGATAAGCAATACCTAAGATTTATGCTGGAAGAAAAATTTCTGATTAAAATTTTTAATCTTAAAATCCTTATTTGTCAAAACCTTTCATTGAGAACAGTCAGTTCAAGAAATGTTTAGACTCTTTAAAAAAAAACATTTTGAAATTGTAATTGTTTTGTCTCCATACAAAATAATTACTTTGGTTCAAAGTGACTGTTCCTAAGTTTGAGCAAACTACAGTAAATTGAAAAATATTCATAAAGTTCTTGAGAGGAAGATGAACAGTTGCACTTGCCTGACTTGAATTATATGTTTTTTTCCAGTTTACAAAAAATTTGGATTACAGCTTTTTTGCCTTGCTCAGCATGAGTTGTTTGGGTTTTTTTAACCTTGACAATTTTTGTATGATGGGAATACCATTTCTGCCCAGTTTTGGTTTATACCACAGAGCATGTTACAGTTTCTTTGCTAACAAGGATTTTTTTTTCTGCCAGACAAGAAAAGGCTGTGGGAGTTAATATTCTTGAACTGCGTCAAAGGCTAGAGAAATAAATTACACATAAACTGGTTTAAGTGATCAGAAACTGGTTTAAACTTGTAATAGAACATAAGTTCAGTGCACGTAAACCAGTATTAAAATGGCTGAAACTGGTTCAAGATAAACCCGGTTGAATGTAGTATATCAGACTTTACAGATTTGGGTCAAGCTGGTTTATGAAACTTCTGTCCCAGACCCCTTTCTGGTTCAAGTTACATAACAGTCCCCCAACAACCCAGCATACCTTCCAGCCCTGGGCTGGGCTATGCTGTCTGCTCCAGAGAGCAGGGCCAGCCCTGCCCCTCTGCTCCCTAGCTGGAGCAGTGAGGGCTGGCTGACAAGGAGTTGGGTGGGGCAAGCCTGGCTGGGGATGCAGTCCAGTGTGCAGTGGGGCAGGGGTGGGGGGGGACAGGGATGGGACTGCTCCCCTAGGCAAACACTGGCTGGGGGCTGGGGCTAGGGAGAGGGGCTAAACACCCCTTCCTCCACTCAAGCTTACTGCTGGCTGCAACTGTAAACTACAAATCCCAGAGGCACCTGGAAGCAGGAAGAGGAAGTAATGAGCAACCCTGTGGAGTCCTGCTGTTGGGATTGTGGACTGCAGATCCCACAGACCTCAGGGGCAGCAAGAAGAGGAAGTGAACACACAGCCTATGCTGGCTACTTGCCAGAGAGCCATGCTCTAGCACCCCTTGTTTGTGGCTGAATTTCCTGAATCAAAAGTGCTTGTCTGCTCATTTGCTTACTGGTTCAATCTTTGCAGCTTAAACTAACCTGTAAAGATTGAATCAGTTCAGCCTCAGGCTTTTTGACTGCCTGTACTTATCCCAAGTTGTCCAACTGTGTTAAAAAAAATGTCCTGCTAGAGAAGGCACAACAGTTATTTATCTCTCGGAACAATAAAGACATCAGATTCTCTCTTAAAATGTCCCTTAATCTGTATACAGTGGGACAGAATCTGTTCTTGCATTGCTCTCACATCATCCCACTGATGTCACAGGGATTGTGTGGGCCTTTTTCAAGACTAAACATAGGCTATGTTTGTACACATGCTTGGGGGTGGGGGGGTGGTGCATTTTAATTAGAGCAGTTCCTGGACAGCCAGTCTAATTGAAATTACTCACTGTCCTGTGTGTTAGGCTCCTGTGCATTTTAAAATGGCCACAGGATTTTTTATCTAAACTCATTCAACAAAGTTTAGATAAAGCACCCCTGCATCCATTTTAAAATGCATGGGAGCTTAATACATGTGATGGTGAGGTGACACTGGAGTGCTCTAATTAGAACACAAACAAGTACATGTATAGGCAGCCAAATAATGTATGTCCTTTTTTGTACCCAGATGGCAACACTTCTGGCCTGAGCTTTTGGCTAGATTGTCGCAGAGCACCTCGGAGCTCTGCTCCTAGAGGGGAGAAACTGCCAGGGAAAGACTAGAAACTGCCAGGGAGAGAGACAGACCCCTGGCAGGTCATAATGAGCCCGGCTGAGTGGCGCCAGGGTAACGAGCCCAGCTGCGGGTTGCCGGGGCAGCTAAGGGGAGCCAGCTGCCTGTAGGAGGCGGGGCCTGGCCTTTATAAAGCCAAGGGCTGAGACCAGGCTGGCAGTTCCCTGCCAGCAGCCGGAGAGGCAGGAGCTCCCTCGGCCGAGATGTAGCAAGAGGCCTGACTTGCAAGTACAGCTCACTATAGCCCTGAGAGGATGGGGCACTATGGTTTAGCCAGGAGGCTCTAGTTTCTGTTCAGGCTTGCATATTACACCGGAGGCTTGGGTGAGGCTGTAGGGGTTGGAGGAGGCCTCATAGGGACCCCAGAGTTGTGGGGCCCCTGAGCGCAACCAGTAGGTTGCGGGCGGGGAACAGACCCCGGAGCCCGAGGCGGGC